TCCTCTCAAGATGCTCCACCACACCTTACCTTGAGGTTACCTTGAGATGCTCCTGGGGCTTAGCGTCCCCGCGGCCAGGTCGTCGACCCGGCCTCCTAAAGCCATCCTCGACTTGATGACTTTCTCCCACATTCTGCAAGGAATACTTGTCAGTGACACTACTCTGTAGTTTAGTGCCCCCCTTTATATCCTCTTTTTTTGTATAATGAAACTACATTTTCCTTTTTCCAGACAACTGGGAGACTTCCTGTCCCAAATGTTTTATTAAAAATGCAAGACAACAAGTTGCAGAGTGTTTCTACAGCCTCCGTCAGCAGCCTTGGTAAGGTCTCGTCCCACGGATTTTCTCTCATCTAGTTTCTCCAGGATTTTTTTTTTACCTCTTCCACGATGACTACAATGTCATCCAGTATTTCCTCTGGCCTTTCATCTTTCAGCCTTGGTCTCCACCCTGTGTGTGTGTGTGTGTGTGTGTGTTTGTTTGTGTGTGTGTGTGTGTGTGTGTGTGTGTGTGTGTGTGTGTGTGTGTGTGTGTGTGTGTGTGTGTGTGTGTGTGTGTGTGTGTGTGTTGTGTGTGTGTGTGTGTGTGTGTGTGTGTGTGTGTGTGTGTGTGTGTGTGTGTGTGTGTGTGTGTGTGTGTGTGTGTGTGTGTGTACTCACCTAGTTGTACTCACCTAGTTGTGTTTGCGGGGGTTGAGCTCTGGCTCTTTGGTCCCGCCTCTCAACCGTCAATCAACAGGTGTACAGATTCATGAGCCTATCGGGCTCTGTCATATCTACACTTGAAACTGTGTATGGAGTCAGCCTCCACCACATCACTTCCTAATGCATTCCATTTGTCAACCACTCTGACACTAAAAAAGTTCTTTCTAATATCTCTGTGGCTCATTTGGGCACTCAGTTTCCACCTGTGTCCCCTTGTGCGTGTTCCCCTTGTGTTAAATAGACTGTCTTTATCTACCCTATCAATCCCCTTCAGTATCTTGAATGTGGTGATCATGTCCCCCCTAACTCTTCTGTCTTCCAGCGAAGTGAGGTTTAATTCCCGTAGTCTCTCCTCGTAGCTCATACCTCTCAGCTCGGGTACTAGTCTGGTGGCAAACCTTTGAACCTTTTCCAGTTTAGTCTTATCCTTGACTAGATATGGACTCCATGCTGGGGCTGCATACTCCAGGATTGGCCTGACATATGTGGTATACAAAGTTCTGAATGATTCTTTACACAAGTTTCTGAATGCCGTTCGTATGTTGGCCAGCCTGGCATATGCCGCTGATGTTATCCGCTTGATATGTGCTGCAGGAGACAGGTCTGGCGTGATATCAACCCCCAAGTCTTTTTCCTTCTCTGACTCCTGAAGAATTTCCTCTCCCAGATGATACCTTGTATCTGGCCTCCTGCTCCCTACACCTATCTTCATTACATTACATTTGGTTGGGTTAAACTCTAACAACCATTTGTTCGACCATTCATGTGTGTGTGTGTGTGACACACACAACACACACATGTGTGTGTGTGTGTGTGTGTGTGTGTGTGTGTGTGTGTGTGTGTGTGTGTGTGTGTGTGTGTGTGTGTGTGTGTGTGTGTGTGTTTGTGTGTGTGTGTGTGTACTCACCTATTTGTACTCACTTATTTGTGCTTGCGGGAGTTGAGCTCTGGTTCTTTGGTCCCGCCTCTTAACTGTCAATCTACTGTTTCTTTTACTTAATCTTTCCCCACACCACACACACACATCAGGAAGCAGCCCGTGACAGCTGACTAACTCCCAGGTACCTATTTACTGCTAGGTAATAGGGGCATAGGGTGAAAGAAACTCTGCCCATCGTTTCTCGCCGGTGCCCGGGATCGAACCCGGACCACAGGATCACGTGTCCAGCGTACTGTCCGATCGGCCGGCCTTGTGCTTGTTCCTTGTGTGTGTGTGTGTGTGTGTGTGTGTGTGTGTGTGTGTGTGTGTGTGTGTGTGTGTGTGTGTGTGTGTGTGTGTGTGTGTGTGTGTGTGTGCAAGTTTTCAAGGGTGTGCGCGCGCGCTACAACAAGAATAACACCTTTCAGGCAGTATTTAGTGTGATTTTAGCCTTCGTTTACACTAATGAGACGAGGAGAAAAAAATAAATTTTCCTCGTTGCAAGATTAGAAACTTTTCAACGTTTAATTAATGTTGGTTCCGGGGCACACCTTGTCGTGTTTACTTAGTGGTAATTACAAGCAGTAGCGATCACTCTAGCGTTCCTCTCAACGTGTGTGTGGCAGCTCCACTGTGACAGGAACCGACCTTTCCTCTGTGTGTTTGTGTGTGTGTGTGTGTACTCACCTAGTTGTACTCACCTAGTTGTGTTTGCGGGGGTTGAGCTCTGGCTCTTTGGTCCCGCCTCTCAACTGTCAATCAACTGGTGTACAGATTCCTGAGCCTACTGGGCTCTATCATATCTACATTTATAACTGTGTATAGAGTCAGCCTCCACCACATCACTGCCTAATGCATTCCATCCGTTAACTACTCTGACACTGAAAAAGTTCCTTCTAATGTCTCTGTGGCTCATGTGTAAACTCAGTTTCCACCTGTGTCCCCTTGTTCGCGTCCCACCAGTGTTAAATAGTTCATCCTTGTTTACCCGGTCGACTCCTCTGAGGATTTTGTAGGTGGTGATCATGTCTCCCCTTACTCTTCTGTCTTCTAGTGCCGTAAGGTGCATTTCCCGCAGCCTTTCCTCGTAACTCATGCCTCTTAGTTCTGGGACTAGTCTAGTGGCATACCTTTGGACTTTTTCCAGCTTCGTCTTGTGGTTGACAAGGTACGGTCTTCATGCTGGGGCCGCATACTCCAGGATTGGTCTTACATATGTGGTGTACAAGATTCTGAATGATTCCTTACACAGGTTCCTGAACACTGTTCTGATGTTAGCCAGCCTCGCATATGCCGCAGACGTTATTCTTTTTATGTGGGCTTCAGGAGACAGGTTTCGTGTGATATCAATTCCTAGATCTTTCTCTTTGTTTGTTTCATTAAGTACTTCACCTCCTATTCTGTATCCTGTGTCTGGCCTCCTATTTCCACTGCCTAGTTTCATTACTTTGCATTTACTCGGGTTGAAATTCAACAGCCATTTTTGGACCATTCACTCAGTCTGTCTAGGTCATCTTGTAGCCTCCTACTATCGTCCTCAGTTTCAATCCTCCTCATAATCTTTGCATCATCGGCAAACATTGAGAGAAACGATTCTATTCCCTCTGGGAGATCATTTACATATATCAGAAACAGTATAGGTCCAAGGACTGACCCCTGCGGGACTCCACTCGTAACGTCTCGTCAATCTGAGACCTCACCCCTCACACTGACTCGTTGTCTTCTGTTGCTTAGGTACTCCTGTATCCAACGGAGTACCTTCCCTTTCACTCCAGCCTGCATCTCCAGCTTTTTCACTAGCCTCTTGTGTGGCACTGTATCAAAGTCTTTCTGACAATCCAAAAATATGCAGTCTGCCCACCCTTCTCTTTCTTGCCTTATTTTTGTTGCCTGGTCGTAGAATTCAAGTAACCCTGTGAGGCAGGACCTGCCATCCCTGAATCCATGTTGATGCTGTGTTACAAAGTTCTTTCGCTCCAGATGCTCCACTAGCTTTCTTCGCACAATCTTCTCCATCAGCTTGCATGGTATGCAGGTTAGGGACACTGGCCTGTAATTCAGTGCCTCCTGTCTATCCCCTTTCTTGTATATCGGGGCTACGTTAGCTGCTTTCCAAATTTCTGGCAGTTCCCCTGTTGCCAGTGATTTGTTATACACTATGGAGAGTGGGAGGCACAGTTCTTCTGCTCCTTCCTTTAGTATCCATGGTGAGATTCCATCTTGGCCTATAGCCTTTGTCACATCCAACTCTAGTAAGCACTTCCTTACTTCCCCGCTGGTAATCTCAAACTCTTCCAGTGGCTCCTGGTTAGCTATTCCCTCTCTTATCTCTGGGATTTCTCCTTGCTCTAAGGTGAAGACCTCTTGGAACTTCTTATTCAGTTCCTCACACACTTCCTTGTCATTTGTAGTGAATCCTTCTGCCCCTTCTGTATGTGTGTTTGTGTGTGTGTGTGTGTGTGTGTGTGTGTGTGTGTGTGTGTGTGTGTGTGTGTGTGTGTGTGTGTGTGTGTGTGTGTGTGTGTGTGTGTGTGTGTGTGTGATATGTGTGTGTGTGTGTGTGTGTGTGTGTGTGTGTGCGCGCGTTTGCCTGTGTGTCTGGGTGCTCTCTAGGTACGCAGAATTTCCTCATTTTGGACGGACATATCTGCACAATAAGAAATAATGAAAGCAATTTTTCACGTGTAAATAATTATTTAATTGTTGAATTATATCAGGTGCATGTAAAGCACATGAAATTCATAATTACATTCTGTTTTAAAATGTAATTGCTAACACTCATTCAACAAAAAATGTGGGATTTAATTTCTGCAAGCTTGCACACGCGAACGCTTGTGACCTCGAATATTTGAGTTGATATCACCTAAGCTCACCAGACCTATTTCACTTATTTATTTATTTATATATATACAAGAAGGTACAATTGGATTGTGAGGATACATAGCATAGTAATTACATTCTTGTAAAGCCACTAGTACTCGCAGCGTTCCGGGCAGGTATACTACCGTGAACCTGCATAGGACCATTTGAGAGAGGGTTCCACCAGCTTAGAACCTGCTTAGGGCCAGCTGTTTGTTTTTTTTCTCACGATCTTCTCCATCACCTTGCATTGTATACACGTTAAGGGCACCGGCCTCTAGTTTAGTGCCTATTGTCTGACCCCATAAACTAAAACACATTTCGAGGAACTCAAGTCTCCTGCCACATTGCTACAGATCTATGAGATAAAATAGGAAGTGCCTCGATGGGCCAATTGGCCTTTTTCAGTTTATTTCCAATTCAAGTCCAATTTCTCAATATATTTTTTCTTGTGGTTATTTGCGTGAGGTCGACCATAGAGAACGGGACCGTAAAGCTCTGAAGCTCTGACAACCAGAGGGACGAAGAATGCACCATACGAGAAACATAAAGCTCTGGACACAGTGGACACAGACACATGTGGCAACCTGAGGGCGCAGGAGGTAACAGTGGACACAGGGGACACAGACACATGTGGCAACCTGAGGGCGCAGGAGGTAACGGGGGACACAGGGGACACAGACACATGTGGCAACCTGAGGGCGCAGGAGGTATCGGGGGACACAGGGGACACAGACACATGTGGCAACCTGAGGGCGCAGGAGGTAACGGGGGACACAGGGGACACAGACACATGTGGCAACCTGAGGGCGCAGGAGGTAACAGTGGACACAGGGGACACAGACACATGTGGCAACCTGAGGGCGCAGGAGGTAACGGGGGACACAAGGGACACAGACACATGTGGCAACCTGAGGGCGCAGGAGGTAACGGGGGACACAGGGGACACAGACACATGTGGCAACCTGAGGGCGCAGGAGGTAACGGGGGACACAGGGGACACAGACACATGTGGCAACCTGAGGGCGCAGGAGGTAACGGGGGACACAGGGGACACAGACACATGTGGCAACCTGAGGGCGCAGGAGGTAACAGGGGACACAGTGGACACAGACACATGTGGCAACCTGAGGGCGCAGGAGGTAACGGGGGACACAGGGGACACAGACACATGTGGCAACCTGAGGGCGCAGGAGGTAACGGGGGACACAGGGGACACAGACACATGTGGCAACCTGAGGGCGCAGGAGGTAACGGGGGACACAGGGGACACAGACACATGTGGCAACCTGAGGGCGCAGGAGGTAACAGGGGACACAGTGGACACAGACACATGTGGCAACCTGAGGGCGCAGGAGGTAACGGGGGACACAGGGGACACAGACACATGTGGCAACCTGAGGGCGCAGGAGGTAACGGGGGACACAGGGGACACAGACACATGTGGCAACCTGAGGGCGCAGGAGGTAACGGGGGACACAGACACATGTGGCAACCTGAGGGCGCAGGAGGTAACGGGGGACACAGGGGACACAGACACATGTGGCAACCTGAGGGCGCAGGAGGTAACAGGGGACACAGACACATGTGGAAACCTGAGAGCGCAGGAGGTAACAGGGGACACAGACACATGTGGTAACCTGAGGGCGCAGTAGGTAACAGGGGACACAGACACATGTGGCAACCTGAGAGCGCAGGAGGTAACAGGGGACACAGACACATGTGGCAACCTGAGGGCGCAGGAGGTAACGGGGGACACAGGGGACACAGACACATGTGGCAACCTGAGGGCGCAGGAGGTAACGGGGGACACAGGGGACACAGACACATGTGGCAACCTGAGGGCGCAGGAGGTAACGGGGGACACAGGGGACACAGACACATGTGGCAACCTGAGGGCGAAGGAGGTAACGGGGGACACAGGGGACACAGACACATGTGGCAACCTGAGGGCGCAGGAGGTAACGGGGGACACAGTGGACACAGACACATGTGGCAACCTGAGGGCGCAGGAGGTAACAGGGGACACAGGGGACACAGACACATGTGGCAACCTGAGGGCGCAGGAGGTAACAGGGGACACAGGGGACACAGACACATGTGGCAACCTGAGGGCGCAGGAGGTAACGGGGGACACAGTGGACACAGACACATGTGGCAACCTGAGGGCGCAGGAGGTAACAGGGGACACAGGGGACACAGACACATGTGGCAACCTGAGGGCGCAGGAGGTAACAGGGGACACAGGGGACACAGACACATGTGGCAACCTGAGGGCGCAGGAGGTAACGGGGGACACAGGGACACAGACACATGTGGCAACCTGAGAGCGCAGGAGGTAACAGGGGACACAGGGGACACAGACACATGTGGCAACCTGAGAGCGCAGGAGGTAACGGGGGACACAGGGGACACAGACACATGTGGCAACCTGAGGGCGCAGGAGGTAACGGGGGACACAGGGGACAAAGACACATGTGGCAACCTGAGAGCGCAGGATGTAACAGGGGACAAAGACACATGTGGCAACCTGAGAGCGCAGGAGGTAACAGGATAATGAGTTGAGAAAGAGGGACATGAGAGAGCACCTCTTCATTTCCCGGGCACTAAATGCATGTGAAATGAACTAAAATGGGCGGCAATGTTGGCTAATTGAGTTCACAGTTTTCAAAGTGTGTGTAAATTAACTATAACATGGTAGTCATGTTACAGAGTCATAACTCTAGAAGAGTCATCTAAAGTCCTTAGGTGAGACAATATTCTGTTAAGAGGCAGGGCCCAGCAGCTAAATATGAACAGCTATATAATACCAACTAAGAATAGCAGGCGAAGACCACGTTAAATGTTATGTATGCATATCCTCACATACTCACAACCTATGTACGACCAACAATTCAATATGCAGCCTAGGTGTGAACCCTTGTTACGAGTCAGGCAATTTCCTGACTCTCACTATTGTTAATGTATTCATAATTATATATTCATCCCAATTAAGTTTGAGATATATGATACCAATTACCATATTATGAACAAATCCACAAGAGCCGTGACGAGGGTTCGAACCTACGTCCAAGAGGATCCCAGATACGCCTTATTCGACTGAGTTACGACATGGTATAATTATTGCAACCGGGAAATCACCTTGACCTATAAAGGATCCTGCAGTCTCTCCGAGACACAAACCAGGTTTTTACACAATTTCCCCATGCACCCGAGCACTGCCAATAAGCTGTTCTACCTCTTCGCCCTTACTTCATTACACACAGAAGTTTGACTAGTCCCAGAACTGAGAGGTATGAAGTACGAGGAAAGGCTAAGGGAGCTGAACCTCAATTCCCAGGAAAATTGAAGAATAAGGGGAGACATGATAACCAGCTACAAAATTCTAAGGGGAATTAACAGGGTGGACAAAGACAAACTCTTTAGCACGGGTGGAACACGAACAAGCGGGCAACGGTGAAAACCTAGTACCTAGATGACCCATAGAGACATTAGAAAGATTTTTTTCAGTGTTAGAGTAGTTAACAAACGGAATGCATTAACTAGGGATGTGGTGGAGACAGACTCCATACACAGTTTCAAAATGTAGATTTCATAGAGCCCATAGTTCAGTCCATTGCTCATCAGATTCCTGAACCAGTAGGTTCAGGAATCATTTCAACAGTTGTATAACCAAAGCGGGACCAAAGAGCCAAAGCTCAACCCGCAAGCACAATTTGGTGAGTACAATTAGGTGAGTGCACACACACACACACACACCAATCAAGACCAATCCTGGAGTATGCAGCTCCAGCCTGGAGTCCATACCTAGTTAAACACAAGACAAAGTTAGAGAAGATCCAGCGGTATGCCACCAGGCTCGTCCCGGAACTGAGAGGAATGAGCTGCGAGGAAAGGCAAAAGGAGCTGAACCTCACATCCCTGGAAAACAGAAGAGTAAGGGGAGACATGATAAACACCTACAAAATTCTCAGGGGAATTGACAGGGTGGACAAAGATGAACTCTTCAGCACAGGTGGGACACGAACAAGGGGACACAGGTGGAAACTTAGTACCCAGATGAGCCACAGAAAAGTTAGAAAGATTTTTTTCAGTGTCAGAGTTGTTAATAAATGGAATGCACTAGGAAGTGATGTGGTGGAGGCTGACTCCATACACAGTTTCAAATATAGATATGATAGAGCCCAGTAGGCTCAGGAATTTGTACACCAGTTGATTGACAGTTGAGAGGCGGGACCAAAGGGCCAAAGCTCAACCCCCACAAGCACAATTAGGTGAGTACACACACACACACACACACAGTCGTGACCTGACCACCGCCCGGGTCAGAGGTGACATACCGTGCTCTGAGAATGTGTAGGGAGGATGAGGGTGGGGTGGAACTGTGAAGGGATACAGAGATATAAATAGTGGAAAGTGAACTGGCAATGCTGGGAACTGTGAATGAAGAAATTGGAAGCTCCAGACTGTGCAGATAACGTACCTGGAAATGCTCACCTATTGTGCTGGCAGGAGGGTAGGGTTATTGACACGCTTGCTTCTTAAGGAAGTCTTGCCTTGACTGACACAGGAAGCGTAACTAGTTCGAGGAACAGCATGGAGAAACTCACAATGGGAGGAGCAGATTAGACTGTAGAGAGAGCTTGGGGTAATGGGAAGAGAGGAGTAAACTTTGGGTTGAGGAGATCGTCATAGCACAGAAAAACTACTTAGGCACTTAATGGGAATATGCAATGACCAAACAGAAGCAGTGGATAGAGGGATATTATTAAGCAAAAATAGGAAGATAGGGACACGGTGGAGTGCAACAATGGAAAGATTGGAGAGAAGAGTAACTAAGAATCAGTCATTGCTGGGGGGGGGGACATAATCCTCGACACCAGAGCAGCAGAGATAGGGTCAACTACCACTGGAGTAGCGAGCAAGCCGGGGAGGGATGGGGTATGAGACTACAACAGCTAGAGGACACATTGAAAAGATTACAAAGCGCCTCTCGAATATGTAAAAATGAAGAGAGCAATACGGTAATAGAAACGACAAAGAGAAAGCGGGCGGCACAATACACCAAGGGACTTTGAAGCAGAGTGATGAGAGACATGTCGACATGGAACTACAGAAGAAAAGAACATAGTAATACGGGGGGCTAATCCAGGAACGCCATGACTTCACAACACGAGAGGATACAATGTGAAAGACTAGAGCCTGGGAGAGATCATGAGATTTAATTTTTTTTAAATTTTGCCCCGAGGGGCGAGTTTATTGGGCAGCGCCACTCATCTTGTGAGTGGACATACCGCCATAGCAGCATGTACAACACTCTCCAATAGGAAGAAAACCCGCTGGGTTGTTACACGAGATCATGAGATGGGTTACACGATCATCATGAGATCATGAGATGTTTGAATGCTGTCTGGGCGATGACGGAGGTTGTGATATCACACCACAATGGATCATATACTCAGAATACTACGAATCGACCTGTTGTTTTTTAGATTTCACCAATGTACATGCAGTTGAATATATATTGCAGCACAAACATTTGCTAAGGAGGTCATGGGATTACTATAATGTTTACATAAAACGATTCATGACAAAACAGGAGCATCAGGAACATAAATCACAGAGATTTCATGACAGTAGAAACGGAACTTCCAAACATTGACTGGCAAGACCTCGACCTCACAACCACACACCTTCCCTCACCCAACCACAACCACACCCTAACATGTCCCCCAACCCTCCATTACCTGAGTATGACCAGACACCCCCCCCCTGTCGCTTGGTGCACCAAATTCCCCCACCCATTCATGCTTCCCAACACACTCCCTGACCGTACAGGATCCTGCTCTGCCCCTGCCCCTCTTTGACTAATACCCATGCCCTTCCTCCCACCAACACCTTCCTACTCCCACCCACACCCTGAGCCCCCCCCCCCCACCCTCACCCCCAGACTTCCTCCCACTGCTTGCCACTGAAATCTCTGGGAATAGGGTGTCCAAGAAGAGTATGAAGATTTGGTACACGAACGCCGACGGAGTTACAAACAAAGCAGAGGAAATTAAAGAGTAAGTGAAAATGACCCAGATTTGATCGCAATAGTGGAAACGAAAATAAATGATATGATCTCTGATGCAATATTCCCAGGGGAGGGGTGTTCCATGTGATAAGACAACAAAGGCAAAGAAGAGGAGATTCACTCCTAGTAAAACGGGAGTGTTAATTTAAAGAACTCAAGAATCAGAGTGAAAACATATACACAGACTCCATAATTAGCACACTGACAACAGATGGAAAAAGAGTTGTGGTCCAGGTAATATACAAACCCCCACCAAACAACGGAAGACCCAGGCAGGAATATGATGACAACAACAAAGCATGCATAGAGATATTGCAGAGAGCAGCAACAGTGGCACACAGAATGAGAGCTAAACTTCTAGTCATGAGGGACCAAAATCATGGAGAGATTGACTGGGATTCCAGAAATGCTCATGATGGGGGAAGAAACGTGGGGAGCGAAATTAATGGAACTTGTAGAAAGAAACTTCTAGACACAACATGTAAAGGAGGACACAAGATAGAGGGGACGAGACACACCAAGTCTACAGGACTTGATCTTCACCCAGAATGAGGAAGACATTGAGAACATAGAGTATGAAATACCACAAGGAGCAAGTGACCATTGTGTCCTGGTATTCCAGTACATGATGGAACTCAGAACAGCGCCCATAAGACATGGAGTCACGGAAGGGAGAGCAGAATTTAAAAAAGGAGACTACATGAATGTAAGAGAGTATCTGGGAAGTGTGCAATGGGAGGGAAGACGGTCCAGGAAATGGTGGACCAAAATAAAACTGAGGTGCAAAGAGTAAGAAGCGAAATTCATCCCACCATTAAGGGAAAAACGTAGAACATAGAATAACCCGTGGTTCAATAGACAGTGCTAGGAAGCAAAGTAAAAAACAAAAACAGGATGGAGTGAAGGAAATACATAAGGCAAAGGACAGAGGTAAACTGGAATAGATGCAACAGGGGCAGGAATGAAGTCATAAACATAAGAAGATTGGACGCCAGAAACTATGAAAATTATATTGCCTCCAGATCAAAGAGCCAACCGAAACTCCTACATAGCCATATAAGAAGGAAAATGACAGTGATTGAGCAAGTGACAGGTTACGAAAAGGGGAGGCCAGTATACGGAAAAAATAAAGAAATTTGTGAGGAGCTCAATGTCAGCTTCCATGAGATGTTCACTACTGAGCTTGAACAGCTCTCAGAGGTAGATGTGGAAGCAGCCCCTGATGCGAAACTATTAAATATTGAGAGAACAGCATAAAAAGTAAGAATACAGCTAGCATCACTGGATGTAACTAAACCTACTGAGTCAGAGAGAATATTACCATGGATGTTAAAGGATGCAGCACAGACCGTCAGCATACCAAAGAGCTGTTATATAGCTGTCTGATAGTTCTAGAGCAAAGGATGCAGCTCTAGAACTAATCTATATGAGTCACTTACACAGGTGAAATTGTCCAGCTGCTGGAAGAA